CAACGTACCAAATTGTAACTAGTTAGATAGAACGGCCTTTGGCCAAAGTCCTACATAGCCAACGGCTGATACAGGACTATAATGGAATAATAATACACAAAAGTATAGTGGGTACCGCAAATACGCCAATCCCGGTGCCCACCAGGGCCCTAATCTCAAGAATCTAGCGCTGACGGTTCTGGGCCGCTCAATCAAGCAGGGCTCTGTGTCGAGTATAGAGGATGCTGTGGCAACTATAGAAATATATCGCAAGGCTGAGGTGGAAATCGATCGGGAACAAGAGCAGTAGGATTTAGGCTCCTGAAAAACCTACGGAATAGGCTTGCACGGGTAATATGATCCATACTAAACTTCCAATGATGTCTTTCAGCATCTGACAGTAGATGAGATGAGTCTATGTTGCTTGTAGCACAACATAGCAGCAAGCTCACAGGCGAGTATTATATGATGCTTTTGTAGGTGAAGTCGTGCCCAAAGGTGTTGGTTATATCTAACTTAATCATCAACGCTAAACTTTGAAGACTTTGACTATCCAGGGAACCACATCCTACGGTCTTTAAGCATTGGCTTTTGCTCCTATAGATCCCTTTTTTTGTTATAGCGACTGAGATGTGCTACATCAATTGCGCAAGGAGATTTGTTGGTTCGAAGGGTTTGCCAATGAAAGTCGACGCAAAGCAGAAGATGAACTCATATCGCAGCTTGTAGCTGAGCAGGTATTGAGCGCCCGTGCGCAGTTGTCATCTGCAATCTGGTGAGTCATAGCAGCTAACACGCTGAGCTTCCGGCATTAGTGTGGGATCGCTTGCCGCTGTTCATGCTGTTATCGAGGCTAACAGCCATAAACTTGAAACGAGATCTGACTGGCTCCAAATCGCCTGACCCCATAATTGTTCTAGCCGATCGGTGTGTGGTGTACCGATGTACATGGTAGACCTCAAGTGCATGTCACCACTGCTGAAGGCATGTACTCACTAGTAGATGTGACTCGCTGGTTGTACAACAGGAAAGCAGCTATCAGTGCATGTGCAGTGGATATAGTATAGGTAGGTAGATCACCTATTGCTCACTCTTGTGGCAAGATAAAGCTTCCCCTCTTTTGCCTCCGCCATTATCTTGCGAGCTTGTGCTGCTACCTGGTTTTGGCTATTCTCACGCTTTTGTCACAAACAGTACGAGCTTAATTACTCATCAAATTAGACAATCATTTCATTGTCAACCTGAATCCAAAACTGGAAAAGCCTTTCGGGTGGTCACTATGCCTCCGCTTAGCCTCGAGACAACACTTTACTTCTTCTATCATATTGTGCTGCCTCCGAAACTGCCACTGGAGAGCGATTGGAAGGTAGAGCACGAAGATGCCCTGCTCGACATGACAGTAGAAGTCCTCCAGACGTTTGCCGAGACGGTGCGAAACGAGGAACCACAAGTAACTGGGTATGTACATAGATCTCGCTCTTCCCCAAAAAACTTTTATCGATAGTCATGGAAGTATCTTAAACTACCTTCATGTTCAGCATCTACTCACTAAAAGTGTTGCAAAGTACCTTGATAAGCTTTGAGCCCTCGATCTGAGCCATCAATAATAATGTACCAGCTGACATATATCCTTATATTATAGGCCCATAAATGTTCTAGCATCTGCAGTTCAAAACTTGCGTCGCATTCGTAATGCGTCAGGGTTTATCAGCGACTCCCGACTCGAAGAATTGCTCCATAGCTTGGCCTCCAGTGAGATGTCGGAGACTGTGCTCATCGAGATAAAAGCACAAAATGCGGTGGTGGTTATCAGCAAACAAGAAGCCGGTGCTGACGTCGTCTTTGAGGTTTTCGAACTGTCACCGCTAAATGAGACCGTGATGCGAACGAAAGGTCGACTCAAGCGCTCCTTTCTGACTTTTGCTTGTCAAATCTCTCTTCAACAGTTCCAGGAACAAGGTTTGATTGAAGCGCTTGCACACACGCTCGGGAAGATGAGCTGGGAAGAAGCTCCGGGCTTCCAGCCTCAGACCCGCAAGAATGAGCAAGGCCACGATGAGACTCGCGACACGACGCATCCAGGCTTGATCACTGATTTTCTCGTGCATTTCCTCGCCGTCATCGGCCAGCCTGCTGATGTGCAAGGGTTGTGGAAGAATACTCGCGAAGATGTTCTATGTTTCGAAGGCTTCCTGCCATGGAGAAGATCTGCTTTGTGGCTCCTTGTTCGCACAACCATGCAGCTTCAGATTTCTCGCACGTCGTCCGCAAATGTGTACAAGGCTGTCATGGTCCATATGTTGGCTAGGCTCCTCCAAAGTGTGAAAGCCCATTACGAATCGATAGGTACGTAAGTCAGTTCGCGTGTCAAAATACCCTCAAATCCCACAGTACCGTCCGTTAAGCGCGATCATCTCTGTTGCAGAGGCTGAGAAATCTGGTTTTGCTGTTGGTCGAGCAGCCCTAAATTATCCGAATAACCGGCTAATGTATTGTGGGAGCGTGCGTTCTACAAAGACGAGATTAAGTACTTCGTCAATGCCATCACTAAGGCTGTTATTGAGCGCCACCTAGTTGCACCCCTCCCTAAAATCATCCTTTCCCCTCTAGTTGTGACGCAGGTGTCAGAGAAAGAGGTGGACTTCGTTGCTGCTGAGTCTCCTGAGATCACGCAGCAGCGCCTTCATCTGGAGTCTAGGAAGAGTATGCTGGAGAAAGGGTTAGAAACGTTCAGGGAAACGATAGGAGGACTGCAACGCTAGCTATAGGAAAAAAGACGTCTACTCCTTGGATCTAGTAATCCAGTGTGTATTTCGCTTTGATAGAAGCACTTGTAAGCTAAGACCAGCTAATCTGTGCTCACCGCAGCTATATGCAAAAGCACTTCGGTCAGGTTGTGTTCATTAACGAGACAAAATTGAGTCCCGGACCAGGAGAAAGCTTATTGCAGCCTGCAGCTAGAGAATCTAAAGAGACATGTTTCTTCGGAAGATTTGAAACTGTAAAGGGACGAAAAGCTTGCAATATTGTACATATCTGACACTTTTGCTGAAGTACCGCCATGTTCGAAGTGGAAAGCGCTAGGGTAGGATTATATGTGAGCGATCAGACCTAGTTAGCTTGGAGAATGATTAAGAGCTTTTTAACACAATACTAACTAGAACCATAACTTAAGGTCTTTCATCTTCGATCACGTATCGGTTCTGAGATATCTTGGTATAAAACTAAATCCATTGCACCATTTTGGGACTACAGTTATAAATTTGATCTCTTTCATGATTTATTCAACTCAGCAAGCCACGTGATCGAGAAAAAGTAACAGCAGAAACGCCCAAGACCGTCACCTTCTCTTCATTTGAATAAACAGGTCAGCCATGGGGTGGAACCTGCTGCAAGACTCCACTAAATCGCTCGTGTTGTGCAAACAGTGTTATACGTCAGATCTCCTATCTCCCCTGCTATGTCCCACTACCCATTGCTTTGTTCTGGACTTGAGCGTTGCGCCATGCGGTCGGCCTTTCTATTGTTCCCGTTCTCTGTTCGTTCGTCCCCATCATGTCCATCACCTATATCCACCACATCTAATCCGCTTTCCGGCGATTTGCCTTGCATCAGAGCCTCAAACTCCAATAAATTGCTCCACGCACCATCAGGCTCTTGCTTCGAAACAGGTATACGATTGTTCCATTTCGGAGTATCATTATCCATAGGGACCTGATATGTTGCGTAAGTTGTTGAATAAAGGCGCTTCCTGTGCTATTTTAAAAACCAACAAAGAACGATACTGCGTGCTGTTATAGAGAAGGATACTGTTCGATAGCTCAGTTATCAGCGAAAGAACTCATCTGGATATTTAAGAGTGCAACTGGAGTCCGCGGGCAATGAGATTTTGCTGCAACTCAGATCCTTCACGAAGCGAATCAGCACTCATTGGCGCATTACGGTTATAATGTCTTAGTGAAACATCCCTGCAGATACAAAATGAGATTGCAGGTGCTGTAAGCGCTCACATGCACGTAGAATGGTAGCTATCCACTCAGTGCTTTTTACTCACAGCAAGGACCAGCTAGAAATGGAATAAGCATGCTATGATAGCGTCGTAATCCTGAATGACTCATATAAATGCGTGCAACTGTGCCACTTTCATCCAACGTTGTGATAAGGGGAGGAAAGCCTGCCTGCAGTTCATGCATGTCGCCCTTTCCAGGGCTAATCTCTATCTGGAAGGTGACACATGGTAGGATTTAAACGCTGATGACAGTCATATGCCGCGAGCGTTAGCATAGGGAACACAACAGGTCTTTGGTCGCCATTTCCTCTCAACACTCTTACTCGCGTCTAACAAGGGTCTTTGGGAGGGACAGCAGCGCTTCAATCCTAAATGTGGAACTATACGACTGGAAGATTGGAAAGCCACCGTTGCACGACAGCATTTCACATGCATGTGTTAATGCATGGTCTGATCACCGTTTAGTTAGTATTCTTTGGGCGGTTTGCAGACATCTATAACACAGTACTCGTGCTGTTTAGAATACAAGCCAAAGAGGGAGGCAGCAAAGGAAAGTAATAGCTCCCTCTACCAGTGGAAGCGAGAGTATCTATGCACGAAAAATAGATATTTGA